TTCCAACACTCTATGACTAATTGATAAGGTAGAACACAGAAATTTTAGACAAACCCTTTTTTTGATTTCTTCACCATATCTCAAAAATATTTGCCTTGAAATTGACTTGTTATTAATACGATTTGGTCTTCTGCGGCGAACAGGAACATTAATAATACATGAGGCTAAATACATTTTTGGTTTATAATTATCACCTAAACTCCAGTATTCAAAACAGATTTTCTTGCGAATATCTTCAGGAAAGTTTTCATTACATTTGTACCTATAACAAAACAATAATAAGAATATTATTATAAAGAAAACAATATCTATTATAAATATTATTTATATTTCAAACATAATAATACACACACCTACAATTAGTACAATTGACAGGTTTTGGCTCTTTTTTGGGTATAGGCTTCCCTGAACTGCTAATATATTCTTCTCCACAAAGACTTTAATCTATTTACATTTTTTTTCTACAATTCTGGGTTTGCGTTTTTTTTCTGCTTATTTTTACTAATTCATTCATACAGGTAAGTTAAAAGGGAAATGTATAAGATTAATATTGATCAATTAATATATTATTTAACATATAATTAATACATTTAGGTAAACATGAGAAATAATTATTAAATATTACTCATGTATGAAAAATAATTTATAAGAATAAAATAACGCAACTATACCTACCTAGTTGATTAGATGATACATTAGCAGTTTCATCAATCATATTGCAGTCATCCTGATCCATAAGCATAATATTATTATCATCCACTAAATTTGAAAATGATGATGAAAACGACAGTTGCTTTTTATTAGCTACCCAGTCTTTATCGTTTTCAGTATCATCATATTCAGAGGCACTGCTGCAATTTTCTATAAATAAAACAGTACAACTTGGTTAATTATCAAATTACGTTTTAAAGAAAAAATATAAATTATAGATTGGATTCAAATCTTCAAATCATTATTACCTAACAAAATATTTGCATCTGATTTAGTATCTTCTGTAAATGTCATATTAATATTATGAAGCCAAAGTTTAACTTTTCTGTTAGAATCAGAATCTTTTGTTATATTACCCCATTGGTTATTCACTACAGTAACCATAAAAAATGATAATTATAATAATATTAAGTTATAACTAATTAACAATTAAAAACTTACCGACTGTTTCATTTTGTTTTTGATTTCTAAAGTTAAAAGTAGTTGTTTTTACAAAAGTAGAGTTTGTTTAAATAAATTTAATATTTCGAACTTCGCGTATGTTAAGCCATTTTAATAATATAATATAATTTGAGAATTTTACTTAAATATTATTATTATTTAGCGAGTAACAAAAAATGTTAAGTATAACACTACAATGATTTGCACGATTTAAGATAGTATGGTTGCCCAACGAGCTATGATAAGACGGCATCGAATTTAAATCGGACCTCCGCTGCTAGCGCTTCTAGTGGACTATTAAAAGTACTACTACAATAATATATTATTATTTATGAAGTGGCCTTAGAATATAGGTACTAATAACTATTTTTTTTTTTTTAGTTTTATTTTGAGTCAACATAATATATTATATTTATATAATTACGTAATTAATTAATAATAATAAATATTATTTATTATTCAATAGACAAACATAATTGTTATTAACAAATTCTACAAAGTATTTAAAATATTATAACTAAAAATCAAAACTGTATTATACATATTTGTAGTATGGAGAAATTATATTTATTTTATGGTTTAACTAAGTAATTGGGTTGACTATGTGTTATATCTATGTGTTAACTAATTTAGATAATTTTTTTTTAGTTTTGTTTAATTTTTTGCTGTTTTGGTTTTGCATAAAAGTGTATTGTCGCATTCTCATTATTATATAATGAGTACAAATGTCCGTTAATATAGTCAGCCGGTGTTCTGCACATGGAAATTCAAAATAAATATTTTTATTACAGAAGTCTTCATAGGTTTCTTCAAAAGCATTTGGAGAATCAATACATTTTGTAAGAGAATTTTCCAATGCTTTTATAATTTGGAACAGATTGCTGTCTGGATGGGTAAGATATCCTCTACTCTTCGCAATTACCAAATCAGCATTTGTACCATAAGTTGTTGCATTAAGGTTCTTTAAACCAGATGCACATGACTTACATTTAGTTTTCGACGTTATCCGTTTTGCCATATATCTGTAAAATTACAAAAAATAAAAGAAGTCCTGGATATTATTATGATTAAATAGTTTGGTAGAGGTAAATTTGTTTTATTTAAATCATATTTACCCAGATAAGTAGTACACTATGCAATCAAAAACAGTAGTATCCGAATAATTGTGTTCTAAAAATATCTCATCTAGATCCCAACATCCCTCATCAGAAATTTTAGTCAATTTTTCTTTCAGCTTTTCAATTTTATTAATACGTATAGAACAATTATTATTTTCGTTTACAATTTCTTTAATCTCAGCTATAGTAATAATAGGCACATTCTCTAAAAATTTGGATTGAATATTATTTAATTCTTTAGTTGTAACTTTTACCAAACATGAATTATATATTATAGCACCTTCATTTATATTACAGTTTCCAGTTTTCGGTGGTTTGATTAAAGAATATACTGAAAACATCCTATACAACTGAAAAAATGAGGGGCAAGATGGATGGTCATTTGGGCCAGCAACTTGTCTAACTATCCCAAAAAATTGCTGTTAAATAAATAATAGTTTTATAATATTTTTGATGGATATATTTTATACTTGGTGCATATTGAATAAGTATTATTATTAGGTGAAGAATATTTACTTCTATACGATCCTGATTAAACTTTGAGGTCAATACATAGGCAAAATTCTTTTCATTTAATAAATAATTAACTGCATCTATTGTTGATTGTAAAGTAATTTTTAGCCCATCAGCTGTATTTTGAGTTAAAAAATCATTTTTTCAATCAAATTATCATTCAAATTAGATTCCCATTTTAAAAACCACTGTAATGTTTCATTTAGTACATAATATTAAAAAAAAACAATGAATTATAATAATAATATAATTTGAGTATGAAAGTGTTAGTAAATAGCTAAATTATTTTACAAATATAATGTTATAAATTACTTATGCACATATATACAAAAACATTATTCTAATTAATAATACATGAATTACAACATTTACAACACAAACACAACAAATAAAATACTTGTAAATCTTGACTATTTTTTTCGTATGCCTTCAGCAGGAAATTTTCTATTTAAAGCATCAAACATATTATTGAGCATTTTAGTAAATTGTATAGTTTCTTCTGAATCTTTAAACCCTTCAACTTTTTTTTTTTATAAAATTTGATACATTTGCCATCGACATACTAAACAACTGTAGAATACATTATATAAAAATAATTAAAACTACTCTAACCTAGAGTATAAGTACTTGTATTTAATTCATATATTTCATACTTTCATAAATTAGTTTCATTTATGTTTACCTGTGCAGCATACTTCACTTTCATCTTAGAAAGGTTGTTAAGTTCAAAGTGGTTACATGATAACTTTGGACATACTTTAAGAATAGAATTTCTTTCAATCTTAAAAATGTTATAATAATAATCCCACTTTATTGGATTATTTGAAGGATGCACCTAAAAATCAGAATTAATACATATTATAATAAAATATTTATTTTTTAACTTGCTGATACATATACTATGAGTTGTTTCTTCTCAAACAAACGATTTCTGACTGTTTTCAATAGGTGCGGTGCATCCGAAAACACAAATACTTTTCTTGAGCTGTCATACGGATTTTGAAAATAGTTTTTAAAGTTATTTGGTTTTGCACTTATCTAATAATTAACATACAGATCAGTAAATTTGTGGTGGTTTTCCCCTCCTAACATTGTAACAATAATTATTATAAAAATATAATTTTATCAGAATGTTTAATTATTAAATATATATATAGGTAAGCGAGCCAACCAGAGCTGTAGCAAATTGGCAAATTGCCCTTGGGCGCCAATGAAAGTTAGCACGGCACTGAGGTCAACCTATTCTGTATGAAATATAAATCATATGGAAAACTAAGATTACATGTCGTGATACATAAAAGTTTAGTTCACCCCTAATTGACTCCACATAGTCCTGTTAGTACTTCCTCCATCACATATAAGCCCAACTACTTGTCCACCAGAATCTTCCATCAACATTATAGCTCTTATGGTTAATTTGGCTAAATCCACCCCTGGTAGTAACAAATTATCAATAACAAAAATGTATTATTTTTAACCTGTTTATTTATTAATTAACCTTTAACTGGTCCTTTTGAAGCAAACATTGCAATAGGTTGAACTAAATTATCTGCCAAACTCTGCCACATAAACACTAATGCGTGGTTAGCTTTTGAGGTACCTTCAGTATCTATTTCTACCCCAAAATCTTCCAGTCCGCTATACGTCAATGTTCGACTATTTAAACTAATGCTTTCCCTTAAGAAAACTTCATCTAATACAAGTACACCCTGTCTTTCTTGTTCAGATTTAGTTGAAAACTTTTTCTTTAAAAGTTTAAAGAAATTTTTATCAAAGCCACATCCTATCTCAACCGCTAGTAGATGTGACCTTATAGAATTAGTACACGGCAATGGTAGTGTATTATTATTTCTTAAAAATGAATACCCAGTAGGAGATCTAAAAATTATTACAAAGCAATGCAAATTATAACATTAATTCATAAAACAATAAAATAACCTAACCTTACTTGTAAAACCATACATAGTAGCATCCAATTTTCACTGTACCTTCTGCTTTTTGGATTAGTTACTCTAGCTGCATTAAACATTTCTCGAATCAGTTCAGATTGAGAATTAGAAATATTAGAATTATTTAGAAGCTCTTCAAGTCTGAACTGAGAAATGGATTTCATTTCATTTTTAATGTTATTTAAATTATTTTCAAGGTAAATAATCCTCTTTGATGCTCTGGTCATTTTTTTTCTTATTAACGCTCTAGTATCTTTAATTTTATAATATGTTAATCACTGTTGGAGACTTCATTGGGATTCATAAATCTACAGCTGGGAAATGTGTTTGGAAAGTTTTAAAAGCCAATGCTATGTTGAGGTCTAAATTTTTAACATTTCCTAATGATGTTGTAGGGCTCAATAATTTGCAGCAAGGATTCTATAAAATAGCAAGGTTTCCAAAGGTCATTGGAGCGTTGGATTGTTCTCATGTGAAGATCCAATCACCAGGTACGAGCTAATACATACTATATAGTATGCTAATTTTCAAAGAATATAATACAAGGGAAATCAAAAAAAAATTATGCAACCAAAATATTTCAAGTCTCATTAGCAATATTGTAATAATGAAATTGAATTGCATTTTTTGTCTTTTTGTTAAGTGTAAGGGTGAATAACAACCCCCCTGAATTAGCCAATCAATCAAACATTATGTACAAGAAACCATTTATTCAGTTGAATATTTTTATGCCTTTTACGAATTAACTTTCTATAATTTAAGATAATAATTTAATTGTTGAAATT